CTTCCTCAGCAGAGGCTATTTGAGACGCTTGGTCGTATGGGAGCATTTCACGAGGTGCAAGGGAATGGTGACCAGCCACAACCCTAGACACCCACCCCCGACCATACTGAGGCTTTCGGACACGGTCAAACCCTAGCCTCGTTATATCCTTAAGATATCGATGGACGGTGGGGTTTGAAATGTGGTCATATTTAATTCCATCCAATTGTCAAAGGCACTAGTGAATGAAAATTTCCAGTTTTTGTGTCATCCACTCTCAGTAGCCACCTATCACAAGCAAATTGATGAATGTGTCAACTGTGGTTCGATAGGCACTTAGTTTTGTGTGGAAGCTTATTTTGCTTCACAGCCACAGGAGTTTGCAAAGTTCTACAAATGCTCTCCTTGTGCAGTTGATAGAAAGCTCGACCTTGTCGTTTGACTGGATGTTAGATCGTAGCTTGCAGACAGCGTCAGTGGTGCGATGGAAACTAACGAAAAAAGTCCGCACTTTCACCATAATAATATAATGATCCTGCTCCGTATTTGGTTACTTATCTTACTTATTCAAAAATGGTTTCTGTTGTGTAGTGCTTTTGCTGCATGTTAATGGCTTTTAATTCTACATAGTAACTACACAGTCTTACTTTCGTCCACTCCAACATCATCATATCATCATTTGTTCAAACCAGTTTAGCGGCTCTCGTGATCTTGCACTCCGTTCGAGTAGAATTATAATTCACCCCTTATTGCCCACACTCAAGTGTTTAATAAGAATCTTCGATATTTCCTTTTTTCTGTTTAATTTATGAAACCCCTTTTTTCTAACGGTGTCGCATATTTTCGGTTGATACAGTTCGCACCGCGGATCCCAGCGTCCTTCAGACTGGTCAGTTTCATTCGGAAAACAACACGGCTCACGATGTCAGCAAATTGGGTCGGAAAAATGACAATCATTCATTTCATCCATCCAGTCATTCCGTTGATGATCATACCAATACTTCCTCATCGATTTCTGAGAGGAAATCTCCGAATTTGCCTCATTCCGCATCTGCTCCAACGGCACGCCAGCTCCATGGTTTATCAAGGCCGGCTTGTTCGCTGAAATCCAGACCAAACCATCAGTGTTTGACGGAGACACCGGGATGGGGTTTATGGCCCCTCAGCTTCTTACCTTATCCCTTCGCTCCCCCACAACGACTGACAATGATCATTGCCTATGCAATGTGAGTTGGCTGGTTTCCAAGGGCATTGTGTTTCTTCTTGCGCTTGCCCTTTGCTTTCGGTTATGCTTGAATCAAAATCAACCCCCTAAGTAAACTGTGTAATCGCACTCAGAAAGGGATAGAGAATGG